GTGGTCCCACGCGGTGCAAAAACCCAAAACGCGCGTTGTCGTCAACGTGTTAGATGAAAAGCCTCAAGAAGTGATGGAGGAAGTTCATACGGAAGCGAGAAGAAACCTAGGTCATGCGAGAAGATGACTTGGACACGACAAAGAGCGGTCTAACAGGAACAGCGGACCCTGCGACTCGGCGGGATCGGATTTGGGGAGCGAGGGGGAGGGAAAGGGAACAGAAAGGTCTTCCAAGAGAAATGGTTTTGGCCGATTCCAAAGAATGACAAATCCACGGGATCTCTTGCCGCTACTTTTGGCCATTGCCATAGCACACCTAAAACAATCATGCACGCATGAATACGACTAAGTAAGGCACCTGCTATGAATCCACTAACCCAGCAGAAACATAATCAATCTTCCACCTGCATCCCAAGAGAAGATGTAGTGGCTTCTGCTCCCTAATTAATATCCTTTCTTCCACCAGGATCGCAATGCTCGGCCTTGCCACTAACGGATTCGCAATCCTTCAGCGAAGACATTCCTGGTACCCAAACGTAAAAGAAAAAGCTTGGAGTAAGATACGCATTTTGGCGCCGGGCCTGCAAGTTTCTTGGTTAGTCACTAAGCCATCTCTAACGCGATCACCGCCGATCTGAGATACATGGGACAGGTATGGTTCACTAGGACACTTCGACTTCTTCGCGTTTCGCAGCGCGAAACATTTTTCACTGCAATCCTGCGAAAACCTTGGGTCCTCGATCAGCGGTGGACCTGAGGCTCCCGCAGCGAAAAATGTTTGCGCTACGGAATGTGAAAAAGTCGCTTTCTGTCCTAGTGAACCACACCCATGGTGTACAACCATAACTGCATCAAGAAGACCTCAGATAGCCTCCAGTCTCCACTTACAGAACAGCTATGCAATAATAGAGGACCTTTTCTCTTACAGAACAAGAAAATAAGATGAAATAGATACAAAAAATGATGGCTAGCAAGAGAACTATGGTTTGTTGGAATATCAACGAGGAATTGCTCGCAATAAAGAACGCCTACTGCTAAAAGTACTCATGCAAAAGAACTGGAAAATGAGAAAAAATGAAGACAAATAGTACCTGCAAGCTCGCAACCCTTCGCAGGAAACCTTGGCCTCGACCTTCATCCAGTGATGGAAAGCTGAGAACTCTATAGCATTTCGTCGGACTACTGTCGATATCTTGCCACATATGAAGATATCCTGCTGGAGTGAAAAAAAGTAAAACATTTGATATCGACGAGAAACCACATCGAAAACATACGCAGGGTTCATCAAGAAGTTTCGTAGTACAAAAATTCACATTACAAGGGCAGGATTGTGAGCAAGCCCTTTCCGTCACGCGCTTGAGTTCGTACCTCTAGCATCACAAGTAGTTGTGCGACCGCCTACACCACCTGAGCACCATATTACCTTGGTCTCAGGACATCTGTCAACCGTGAGCCTTGGCGGTTCAGCGTTTTGTAGTGATGTCTGGGAGCTCTCACAAGTGCACACTATCACAGCATCTCCTCTTTCTTTATCTTCTTCAAAAGGCTTAGTCCCAATAAGACACAAAGTGTGTGCTTTTCCAGCTACGCTCTCACCCTTTGGTTGACAGAAGCCTTGTAACCCATTGATGCGGGTTGCGTCGCCGCGCGGCGTGCCTTTGCGGCACAGCAACGCAACGCAATTGTAAGCTCACACATTCTAGCTTTTCAGGCTTGGAGCCTGCACCACCCTGCTCATAAATTCCTCGTTCCTCGAGACTAAGGCCAGTGTAAGACTTTGCAAACCCACGAATTCGATCCTTAGGAGTACAAGCAACTTTGGCCTTTCGCGACCAGAACATTAATGCACCAGCGAATCTAAGCTCGCTGGTGCGTCGTTCGAAGTTTTGGACCATCGCTCGTACCCCTTGAATCCAGTGAATATGTGGATTCACTATCTAGTGCGTGGATTTTACGCCAATTCTGACACCGTCCCATTATTTTCACCATCGCAGAGGACGCAGACGCAGAGTGCTGTGCAGCTGCCTCCGCACCTCCAATTGCAGCTGCTTCTGTTGCACCGTTCTTTCCTCTTGCCTTGGCATCTAGCCAGCAAAGCTGTTCCCCACCTTTTTTTTTAGATCTTTGGGACTCAGCGAGATTTATGAAACCCAAATTATCAGACCGATCAATTACTGAAGTCTAGTAGCTGAGTGATACGGACGAGTTTTCCGGCCGCAGCAGGATGGGAGAATTGCGGCCTTTGCGCGTCCAATGCCAATATGATCGCGCCATATGACCACCTCCCCTTTCAGCTATCGGTGTCTCTTCTGCCTTTATGTAATGTATGTGTCTATGCGTCTCGGGTGCGAAGCGAGGTGGGGTGGGGGACCACGCGGCAGCGCGGTGCTCTATCTGGAGTCT